CCGGGAAAGTGTGGCCGCGTTGGGGGCTGGGAGGGGGGGGGGGGGGGGGGAGAAGCCTTGGAGGGCCAGTGATGGGATCCATGGACATTGTTGCTGTCGGTGTGGGGGAGAGAAGCCTGGTGGCCTGGCGGCTAGGAGTCACACAGGGCTCGCAGCCATTGCTGCTGGCGGCCGCAGTGGCCAGTGGGGAGAAACCTTGGAGGGCCAGTGGCTAGAGCCACGGTCGTTGCCTGGCAAGCCCAGCGGACCGCCTGCTAGGCTCTCCTGTGGCCGCTGCCACCTCCTCCTCTGTGTGGAGCTCCTGCTGCTTCAGCAGGCCAGCCACCCAGGAGCCGCGGGGAATACTCCGCCCACGAGTATCGCGGGTCCCGCTTCTTGTATTTATCTAATTCCTTCTTGAAGCTGTCTATGCTTGTAGCTGCCACCACTGCTTGTAGCTGCCACCACTTCCTGTGGCAGTGAATTCCATGTGTTAATTACTCTTTGGGTGAAGTACTTCCTTTTATCTGTTCTAAACCTACTGCTCATTCTTCAACAGCTGTTTGTCAACTTCTCTGCCATTCTCTCATTCTTCAACAGCTGTTTTTCAAGTCTCCTCTCAGCATTCCGTCTGCTCTCATTGGTTGCTCTTAGAGAGAGGCGGAACCCAGCCTGTCCATCACAGATGGCTATCATATCACCTCTCAGTCATCTTCTCTCCAGGCCAAACATATTTATTTATTTATTTATTTATTTTCTTAAATTTCTACCCCGCCCTCCCAGCCAAGGCCGGCTCAGGGCGGCTTACATAAAATCAGCATATATTTGCAATAAAACAATTAAAATAATGTTAAAACTGGTTAACAATAACACAATCGGTGCTAGTATTGTTGTTGCTGGGTCGGCGATGGCTACTATATTTGTTCTTTCTTCCCATAACCAGCTCTTAGGTCTACTTCCGATATCTTTCAGGCCACCCATGTGATATATGAATTCAAATTTAGCCATGTTAATTCTGAATGAATCCCCAGGATTGACAGGGGATGTGAAAACTCCTGCTGAGTAACTATGTTAATCCTGTCATTAAAAGTTCAAAACTCTCGACATGTTCTGACATTTAGCTCAAGCAAGAACCTCCAGATTCATCCCATCATAGTGCTTTTAATGTTAACTGAAGAATGTATTAGTCACCTCTCCAAACCTCTGGGACTTTTGTGGGAGAGCCAGCATGGTGTAGTGGTTAAGAGAGGCTACCTCTAATTAGGAGAATCGGGTTTGATTCCCCACTCCTCCTCCACATGAAG